GAAACTGAAAGCTGCCTGCCAAGTAAGTGCGAAAGGGAAGAGAGAAAGAGGGCCGCACTACCAGAACTATAAAAGGTGGGTGATGAAGTTGATTGGAGCTATAGTTTGAGAAACAAATCTGGTGCTGGAATATTGATTGGGTTCCAAGCTCCGTGGAAGAGTCTACGCTTCTTCACACACTCGGAAGCGAGGCACCCCAATTCCACACTTTGTTTAATAGGGTCTAATTCCCGGATATATTGGGATCTTGAGTTTTTAAAAGGGAAGTACTTTCACATCTTATTTCTCACTTATGAATAATTTTAAGGTAGATGCTACGATACTCTTAAAGTACTATACTTTTGTCGGATCAATCAGAATGATGCAATTGAATTATTTAAATTTAAATCTAAATTGAAAAAGATATAATGATTTGAATCAATCAAATGCATGGTAGGTACCATACCCCATTTTTTAAATGAGTACCGTCACCTAATTTTAATCTTATTTCTTTAACATGAGTACTTTTGTCTTGTTGTGCAATCATCACGTCACACTCTCTACATTATTCATTGGCTCTTCGGCATCATTAAAATTAAGAGCCCGTTTGATAGCACCAAAATCGGCTGTTTTGGCTGATTCTGTTGAAATTTATGATATTCTGGCTGGAGTGGCTGTTTTGGCTGATTCTGCTGATTTAAGAAAAAAATATTTTAAAAATATATTTTATTAATAAATTAAAGAAAAAATTATATGTAAAAATAGCTAAAATGGTCCTCTACAGTAACTTCAGCCAATACAGCCAGAAAAGTAACTCCAACCTTACTTTTTCGGCTTATTACACAATTCAGCGTGCGAAAGTAAAAGTTACGTGTTTGGTGAAAAAGCTGGCTGATAAGCCTGATAAGCCGAAAACAGAGTTCTCCAAACGGGCTCTAAGTGTGCTAAAAATGATTTATAGAATTGGGTCTAGAAGGGATTGAATCCACAACTTCATGCCCACACCGTAGCCTCTCTACCACTCAGTTAACACATTGAATTGTTATAATTATGCCCTTAGAAATATTGGAAGTATAAACATATCAATTTAGGAGCGTACAAGGTTAACTCATACAAGATTTGAAAATACCTTAATTTGGGAAAAACCTTTGGGATCCCTCTTTAATCTATTTGGGAAATAAGATTATAATTACTCCTAATTGGAAAATAAGATTTGAAAGTACCTTAGTTTGGGGAAAAACTTTGGGACCCCTCTTTAATAAGAGAGTTTCTAGATAATTCTAAAGCTTTCTAGAGAAGTATAGATAGAATCACCCAAAAAACTATAGAGAAGTATATAACTCTCTAGAAGCTTATGAAATGGTGTGGAACTCTCTAGAATATTCTAGAGATGTGTGGAATCTTCCAGAACCTTATGGAAAAGTATGGAAGGATATAGGATGTAGTGGAGTCCTCTAAAATATGAAAACATGTGTATAACATTCTAGAGAGCTATTCTCCACCATTCATTGTGGAGGTGGAGTAGTATAAATAAGAGTAGTATAAATTAGTAAATCCATTTAATAAAATACAAAAAAAGTTGTAAATTTATACGTAGTATTTTTTAAGAATGTTGAACTACCTAATATCTAAACCGAAACAACACCTGTCCCATCCATGAACAACACCCGTCACATCCATGAACAAGAGACCTCATATAACATCTAAAATCAACGTTAATTCAATTCCAAAATCAAACATCTTTTACTGGCCCATAATTGCAGAGTGAACCTAAAAACTAGCAATTATACATCATTTTGTTACATTGATATATTAAAAGAAACAGATTAACTTATTCAGTAGATGTCAAAATATAAGTTCTAAAAAAATGCTTCCCACCAATAATGCACAAGATGTTGAGAATTGAATAACAAATCTAAAATTTGATTTTAGAGAATAAAAGAAAATAAAATACTACGTATATTTCATTGATGAGTCATTCTCTCTTCCATTTTTTTGATGAGTCATTCTCAACCGTCTCCGCTCCTCGTTCACTCTCCAATCTTTCATTCTTATTAGTTTGGAGGTTTCAATTCTCTCAAATGTACTTCTTTCGTTCATGACCTCTTGTAGTCTTCCCGTTTTTACTTTCCAGGTCATGGGGGGCAAAGTAAATTTTCCATTGGGGGCAATTCAAGGATTAATTACTATATTGTAGTGGACTCCTTAGCATTAGTAGAAGTGTATTGGGGGCAGCTGCCCCCCCCCCCCCCCCCCTCCCATGACTATAGATCCGCCCCTGCATAGAGTGAGCCACAATAGAGTGAGTTAATTTGTAAACACATTCTTAATAGAGTGAGTCAATTTTGTAAACACATTCTTGTGATCCCACTATCCTTTTGTATAATGTAAGAATCTCCAAATTGGAGAATTATACTCATAGGCTCGCATTGTACCTTAAATCTTAAGTTCCTATCTTAACTTCACGAAGCGGGAAAGTTCAAGTTTTTTCCAATAATTGTATCAGAGCCAGGTTCATCTGAGCATCACTAGCTCGTGTAGTTCAAGATGGAGGATAGCCTCGATCATGATGGTGTTCAAGCTCACTGCCAATAACTACTCATATTGGAAGCTGATGGAGAAGCATTTCCGTCAAAATACTTGCGCATGGTGTTGATAGCATAGAATTATGTTTGTTTATGTGTGTAATTTTAACTAGTTTTATTTGTTGTTGTTTGGGAAATTACACACTTTTGGTGTAATACTTTATTTTTCTTATTTGTTTGTAATTTATATAGTTTAGGATTATTCTGAGCTTTAACTAGGTAAAGATCATCAAAAGGATCCTTTGAAAGGTGAAGGAAAGTGCAAGGGAACAAGATCAAGTGAAAATTTGGGGAAAAAGTCATTTACCCGATCGGGTAAAGCATATACCCGATCGGGTATTGACTTGATCCGAAGATCAAATCTGATTTGGAGGCAATTTAACGTGCATGGTGAAGATTTGGCAAAGATTTGTCTTTTACCCGATCGGGTAAATCAAAAACCCGATCGGGTAAGATGTGACAAATGAAGATTCCGGGCAATTTCTCAGGAAACCCGATCGGGTTTCTCAAAAACCCGATCGGGTTTCTCAAAAACCCGGTCGGGTAAATGGCCCTGGCAGCTCCAAACACCTATAAATACACCCCCTTTCCTTCCCATTTGATCACCAATTCCTATACACTTCTAAGCTCAGTTTAGTTAAGTACTTTCTTTATATTTTTATCATGTTTAGTCTCCAAATGAGGAGCTAAACTCTTCCATCTTGGTTTTGCTACTTTGAAGCTTAATGAATTTGTAAGTTGTGAGTTATTCTCTTTAATCTTCTTCCTTGAATATTAATTCTTCTTTTAGATACTATTTCTATATCAATGTTGGGGAGTGTTACTAAAATGACAATTAGTTAACATCTTGACATTAGTTATAGTAATAGTTATTTCTTCCTCTACGTTAATATTGGGGAGTGTTACTAAGATGACAATTAGTTAACATCTTGATATTAACTATAGTAGGATTCATCTTCTTTAATATTCTTCCTTGAGTATTAATTAATTCCTATTCATATTTCATATTAATATTTTGAACATTACTTAAAGGATCAACTAGTTTTGTTTCATATATTAATTATTACTAGAATCGATCGACGAATACGCTTGTTAATTGTTCGATCGTTTCACGGTAGTAAACTTGGGTTATTAATGCATGTGTTTCATGGTTAATAAACCAAAGGGAATTAATTATATTGATTAAACCAATAAACCACTTGTGTTGATGTTATCAATCTCAATCGTTTTCATCTTGATTTTAGTGCTACTATCGGGTTAATATACGGCGCGTGTTCTATATTAACTCGGTAGTAAGTTTTATTAATGAACGCGTCTCGTTATTAATAACTACCCTCGATGAACTGGATATACTCCTCGATTGAGTATTCGAGAGGAAGATAGTTAAAGATATAACCGGGATCGACGAACATTTCATTAATAGAGCTAGCGTTTGAGGATTCCTAAAAGTATTTTTGTAAGGATGCAAAATAAAATGTACTATATTTTGAAGAATTGAACACGTATTTAGTAGTCAATATATTTTAATAGAGCTTGTTTTTTAGAATAATAGAGACTAATAGAGACTAATAAATTATAAAAAGTAACTGACCTAAATAGGAATAAAACATTAGGTATATGAGTACATTTTAATTTATTGCCAAATTAGGAGTTAATAAATGAGTCACCCGCTTCCTCTTTCCAATATGCCCTTCGGCCTATCAGCTATTCTCTTCTCTCTCATCCAAGTTCCCCTAAATTTTCGTTTATCTTATGCTCTGTTCTAAAAATCGTTCTAGGCGCCTGACTAGTCCCCGCCTAGGCGCTAGGCGGTGGTCGGGCGCCTCGATTTTTGTCTAGGCGCTCCGACTAATTGGTTTGCCATCTAGGTGAATTAGTCAGCCACCTATGGCGTCTAGTTGCCCGCCTAGAGCGCCTAATCGGCCGCCTAGACCGTCTAGATTCGCCGAACATTACTTCACTTTTTAATTTTAAGTTTTTAAGTGATATATGTACTTTAACTTTCGCCATGGATATAAAGAAATGAAGTTGTAAATTAAGGTAAAACTATATAGTTTGTATATACCTAAATTTTATCATTATTTATATTTATAACAAAATGAAGTCTAAGTGATTAGTTATCATATACCACTAGTGCAGAAAAGGCTTTTTACATCACCTTATCTACATGTGTTATCTTATAACCCATGTAAAATACTGACATGGGGTCTTTTTCATAATTTTTATTAACTTTTTCACATGGGTTGTTGTTACACCCGATGTTAAATAGTAAAACGGGGTATATTTTAAAGTTTTGTAAATTATGTTTACATCGGTTCTCAGTAAAACCGTTGTCAAAAGAAAAACGGGGTCAAATTTATAAATAGCTAAAGTTTTGTTAAGATCGGTTAAAGCCGATTTCAAAAGAAACGGGTGAAAAAAAAATACTCCGTACTAGTATAAACTTATATTCCAGATCTGGATGATACTCATCGTCCCTTCGAAGATTTGAAACCTAGACAAGCTAATTCTGGAAAAGTGTAGCGACGCGGAACGGCTACGACCAGCAACTAGCGACGGGCCCGATGACCACAGACTGACCGGAGGACACAGTCGCACCTGGCGACTACAGCCAGAGCCGGTAACCGCAGACGAACCTGGTGACCAGAGTTGGATCCGCGACCAGCCGCTACTGTGGCCTAAAGTTGCCGCTGCTGCAGGGCCGAGTGTAGGTCTGACGCCTCCAAGGATTTCCGGCCAGCGGTTTGAGCTAGTCACCCAGATTCCGGTTAGTTTATTGATGGTGTATTGTATGTCTGCTTAGTGTCTGGCTTTGTGCAATCCGAAAAAAAAAACAAGTCTTGAATCCTTGAAATGGTTAGAATTACATCAATTTACATGTTTTTAGCTTGAGTTTCAGTCATTAGGTTGTAGTGTAAATGTTAACCATTTCTGAATTTGAATTTCGGTGAGGTTGGAGTGTAATTGTTAACATTTCTGAATCATATTTTACAATTTATGTTATATCCATTTGTGCTATATGGATATACTTCTAAATGATGATATAAAATATAAAAAAGCCAAATAAATGAGAATAACATCTTTTTTTTTTTTTGCAAATCAGCTGCTTCGTTTGTTATTTGGTGGGTTTAAATACCTATGTAAACAACTAAGTATATCTCATATAGAAGTTATATCATACAGAATACAGATATGTATCTAAATTTCATTCAAAAAGTGTTGGTGTCTCTTTGTGCATTACACATTTGTACCGAATGCATAATTTAGTACTCTCTGCTTACTTCACCGCTCAATCATATGGCTAGCAAAGGAGTGACAGAATCCTTCCGTTTACACGTTATGGTATTCTCCGAAGCTTTGGTTCAATTTGGAATAGTTGTATCTCCTCGTTTATGTTCAACTAATGGTATTAACCCTTCCCTTACTCACCAACTTGATTTCCAGATGGTGGAGAACCTACCGGTGCAGAGTTTTCCACTGCCTATTGTCAAAGCTTGCAATTCTTGGTCAATTTTTTTGTTTATAGAATGAATATGGTGCTCTAAGAAAACGGCCAGACAGATTGCATAGGATTGACTCACTCATCGTCGCACGCCAACAGCCAACTCGAGTCCGCCCACGCAGCTACCTTAGCTGCCTGCCGCCCTGCCCCTTCTCAGTCATGTGTGCTGCATGGCTGCACCGGCTACCCTGCAGCACCGCGTGCACTTCTGTGTACCTTCAACTTCGAGGCTGCGATTCCTATTTATGTCCTTTTTTGGACTGGTGGCAGAATAAAGCTGGAGGACAGTCTTAAATTTTACCGCTAGCGATTTTTCCCTCCCCTATCAATAATAAGATTCATTTTTGGAAGTTTTTTGAGTCGTAAAGTTGGTTTAAATTTATAATGTGTGAACTGAAATGCTACTGCTATTATGTGTGTATTTTTTGTTTTTGTGTTGGGCTGGATCTGCCAAATGAAGTTTTCAAGCTTTAACTAAAAATAAATATAAAAAGAATATCCAAAAGACTTGGTTTAGACGCTTAGAGTCTCCCGTTTGTTGGTTTCCATTGTTTTTGGTACAGGTGAGTTTTCTTTTTAGACTTCAGTTTTCCTCCTATATTTTGTTGATTGTATAATAGATCTCTTATCAGGTACTCTTATTCTGATTTCAGTTTCCCTCCTTTTTTTACTCTAGCTACTGCCATAAGCTTTTGAGTTTAGTGCTTGCTTTCTCAGACTTCATATTTCTTTTGGATTGCAGATCTCTATTACTGCACTTTCCGGATTCATACCAAATTAGGGGCGAGCAACATTTTTTCTGTATATGGTTCCAAACCTTTTAAGCTGCCCGGAAGCTAAATCTATAAAAGTTTACCTATCAGGTAAAGTTTTAGGCATACAAATTTATAATATTAATGTTAATTCTACAAAAATAAATACAAACTGCATTTTTCAAAATTTTCAATGTCTAACTAATTGTAATACAGGTGCTACGTTTGTCTTATTGATTCTTGATGGTTGGAATGAATATAAATACATATAGCGATGTACAGTTTCAAAGTATTAGTTATTAAATTTTACCAACTAAAAATTTAGTGTGCTAGCTATATGTTTGTAAAAAAATTCACAAGGCACTCTTTTCATACTTTTAATTGTTCACAAGACACTATTGGAGGTACAATAGCTTTCAATTGTTAAAGCGTTCATAGCTTTCAATTTTTAAAGCCTTCAATATCTAATGTTGAATTGGCTAACAGTTATCCCTCCTGATTACTTTCAATAGCAAAATTTAGAGGTTAGTTACCTCCAATACATATTACATACGCATCATACCCATTAACAAATCAAATATACAAAAACAAATTTCATTCACTATGGTTCACAGATTTCTTAAGTTCATGAGACTAATTGTAGGCCATCTTTTCTCCTACTTAGATTTGTATGACTTAAGTTCTTGTTTGGATTAAAATTTTGCCCGCTTGATTTTCCAATGCATTACACTGGTACACCGTTGGATGGGACTCAGTTTGATTCCAGTCGAGATAGAGGCGCTCCGTTTAAGTTAACTCTTGATCAAGGTTAGTTCTCATTCTGAATGATTGTATTACATCTGTGCAAAATCATTATCTGTGGAATACCTATTTCAAGTTTATTCCGAGATTATGTAAGATTAACAAAATTGTGTATTATGGGGATTAATTATTGAGCGAAATACGCATTCCTTTTTTAGTTCACCGTTTCTTAGAGGTTTCTATGGACTATGGGGTAGGATCGTGTCAGATTGCATACTTAATAATTTATCATATGTATCTTTCGATTAACAGGATTAGTAATTAAAGGATGGGATCATGGTATAAAAAAAAAATATGAAGGGAGAGTCTGCTCTCCCCCTACCATCCTCACAATGCGACATTGCAGTTTGATGTTGAATTGCTGTAATGATCAAGGGTTAAGGACATTTGCAAGAAAGGTCATGATGCTGATAGTGAAGATCAGCCTTTTGAGTTCAAGACTGACGAGGGTGTGCATCCCATCGAAGACACATGATGAACATGTTTTCTCAAGTTCTTGAATGATTATGACAATTGTAGCTTTAGACAATGTATTAATATGTTTACATAAGCAAGAATTGTATTATTATAACTTATTGTTATGTACTAAATTCTTATTTAAACTTGTTTAAAATTTGTGCACGAATAAAAAAGTTGTTTTTGTCATTGTGCTCGATTGATTCAGCAAAGCAGATGCAAAATCGTGTTATAGTTGATACTATTAATTATTTGATTATAGAATAAATACAGGTTGTATTGTTTATTTTTTTTTTTTGAGATTTTACATCGGTTGTTATTATAACCGATGTGAAATCTATTCCACATGGGTTATCACCGATGTGAAATACCCTATGATGCAGCCAAACATGAAGGTTTTTTACATGGGTTATTTTAGATCCGATGTTGAAGAATCCACATCGGTTATAACCGATGTGGAAAGCCATTTAAAATGCCGATTTGGACAATCTACTAGATCGGGCACTGCACGACCGATGTAAAAAGATTTTTCACATCAGTTATAGAACCGATGTGAAAAGTCTCTATTTTTCACATGGGCTGAAACCACATCAGTTGTTTGACCGATGTGAAAAGCCGTTTTTGACCGATGTGAAAAGCCTTTTTTGTACTAGTGTACGGAGTACTACATATGATTAAATGTGATAATTCTATCATTCATGTTTGTTAATGTATATGTATATATGTATTTTATACACACAAAAATACAATATTACTTATCATATTTATGCAAAAATATAGATAAAAATGTAATTTCTATGTTTCCGACTAGTCCCCGACTAGGCGCCCGACTAGCGCATAGCGCCTCTTAGAACATTGGTTGTAGCTATTGAATTTCTCTATCCAGCAGAACTTGAAAATAAGAATTTGGATCATTCCATAAAAAGATATGGATGAAATGGTGGGAGGTCGCATCCTTAAATCTCAACGGCGATTATCTATCTTCCTTGTCTATATTCACCTTGATCCTATCACATTCTCGTCATGGTGTCTTCATATGATTTGTATCCCATTGAGTTATCTTTCACACGAACCTTCAATCGTTTCATTTGGATTTTTTCTAGAAAAATATACGGTCAAACGATTAACAGATCGTCATCCCGGTTCAAGGTTGAGAGTTGGACAGTGATCCAAATAGTCATTTTTCATGCTCTTAGTCCACCTTCGTTCCTGTACTTGATCCTTGATCTCCCTTGACTTCAAAATCACTCCTTTAATGTCTCATGAAACTTCAATGCTTCTCAAATCATCCCAAATAATTATCCAACGCCACTGCTAGACTTACATTCCCTGATTTTAACTTGAAAAACACCGATTGCAAACCAAATCCCGGTAAACTATGACGTAGTTGAGCTAATTAGGGGCTTTTTGACACATTTAAGTTAGGAAAATTGGCAAATACCAATCCCAACACCTATCAAATGGGTGTTGAAATATGGTCTTATCAAGGATCATCTGTACTGCAAGGATTTGCCTGAGCCCATCATCTACAAAGATAAGGTGGAAGGCAAGAGCAAAGCTTAGTGGGAGTTATTAAATCTGAAGACCATTGCTATGATCCTTAAGTACATTGACAAAACTCTTTTCGATCATGTTTCTACTTACACAAATGCTTATGAATTATGGACAAAGCTTGAATCCATGATTCAAAAGAAAACACCTCGTAATAAGGCCAATTTAGTTCAACGGTTGGTGAAGTTGGAGTATAAGGATGGTCATAGTATGATTGAGCACTTGAACAATTTTAAGGGGCTCATAAATCAACTAACTAAAATTGAAGATCGATGATGAGTTGCAAACCCTTTTACTCCTTAGTTCGTTGCCGAGAAGTTGGGATACACTCCTGGTTACACTTAGTAACTCAGCTCCAAAAGGAAAGCTAACCATGGATACCGTTAGTGATAGCATTCTTGGTGAAGAAGCAAGGAGAATGGGACGAGATGAGTCTATCCATCCCGAGGCTAATTTATTGAGAATCGGGATAAGAATGAAACTAGTGGACAGAGTAAGAGAAGAGACATGCATCAGTCTCGAGGTAGATCCAAGTCACATTCAAAGATTACATGTAAATATTGTGGAAGAATGGGCCACAAGAAATTGGAGTGTCGACCTTTCAAGAGAGACCAGGAGGTCGGTAATGTCAACTAGACCAAGTCAGCCCAACAAAAGAGCAAAATGATCAGAGTACCACTGTCGTTGTCTTAAAAGAAGATATGTTATATCTCGTTGGAGAAGGTAATATCCTAAACATTCCTTATGATGATTGCTCTTGGAATATTGAATCTGGTGCTTCTTTCCATGTTACTCCCCATGGAAGTTTCTTCTCATCCTACCAAATGGGTGACTTTGGTACAGTGCAAATGAGAAATCAAGATAGGAGCAAGAACGTCGGGATATGAGACATGGTCCTCACAACGGACACCGGATGCAAGCTTGTATTAAAACATGTGAGGAAAGTGGAAGCTGACCAAAGGGAGTTTAGTCATGGCTCGAGGAAAGAAGCAAGAATCATGGCTCTGAAAAGGAGATGTAAACATAACCACTGATGACATGTAAGTATGGAATTAAAGACCTCACTACATCAGTGAGAGGAGTCTCCACATACTTGCTCGGAAGCAACTCCTGCCGAACATGAAAGGTAAGTCACTTGATCCTTGTGCTCACTGTTTAGCTAGAAAACAACACATAGTTGCCTTCCAAAGATCTTCTCCACCCGTAAGGAGAAAATGAACATCCTCGACCTTGTACTAGACCTGTACAAAACCGGCCCGGCCCGCCCGGCCCGCCCAACCCGCCCACACAAATTAGCGGGCTTGGGCATATATATTTACCCACCGGCCCGCAACAACATATGGGCGGACTTGGGTTAGGGTGTAGGCCCGTTCGGGCCGATAAGCCCGGCCCGCTACGTTTAGTATATATACATATATATTTTTATATATACTAATTTATGTATTTATTTACATGTACACTTGTATATTTTCATATTTACTAATTTATCTATATACATATTTATAGTTTATTATGTTTAAATTTAAGTTCTTAGTTCTTAACAAATAGTCCAACCAATATAATATCTATTTTTGCACTTAAAGATAATAGTTTGTGCTTGAATTTTAAATTTTAGATATAGTTTCTCATTATTATTTTTGTGTAAATATTTTTTGTGTATGTGATGAAAGGCCTATATACACTATAAGCGTATTAGCAATTTTTTAAATGTTTTAATATTATTTATAAAGTATTAAATAAATTATATAATTTTGAAAAATTTAAAGTTTTACCGGGCCCGACGGCCCGGTGGACTACCCGGCCCGCTCTTACGGGCGGGTATGGACATGGGGTTAGGCCCGTTTTTGCGGGCCGGGCCGGGCCCGCCCACACACGACGGGCAGAAAACTTATGAAAAGCCCGGCCCGAGCCCGAGCCCGCTTTTGTACAGGTCTACCTTGTACACACGACATGTGCTCAATGTCCGAGAGATCTACTGGTGGGGCATCATAGTTTGTGACCTTCATTGATGATTATTCAAGGAATGTATGGTTGCACATGTTAAAATCCAAGGATGAAGTGATCAACGCCTTCAAGAAATTCCACGCTCTAGTAGAACATGAGAATGGACGGAAGATCAAATGTATATGGTCGGACAATAGAGGTGAGTGTAAAGGTCCCTTTGAAGCCCATTGCAAGAAATATGACATTATGCTAAACAAATCTCCACCAAAGACATCACAGTTGAATGGGCTAGTTGAGAGAATGAACATAACCATTGAAGAAAGAGTTCATTGCGTACTCTCTCAGCCTAAGTTACCCAAATCCTTTCGGGAAGAAGCTATAATGGCCGTAGTTGATATTGTCAACCTCACGCCATCGATTCCTTTGAACAGTGACATCCCACAGGAAGTCTGAACGGGAAAAAGAGCTTCAATTCATACAATCATCTCAAGGTGTTCGGGTGCACCCTTAAAGACGAGCGAGCAAATCTTGACTCAAAGGCAAAGTCTACGACCTTCGCTCACCAAGGACGAATTCAGCTATGACTATGGTCGGAGTAGATGTGCTGTGAAGAAGAGAAGGCAAGGTGCTAGATTGCGTTTTAGGACATGGAATGTTGGCTCTCTTACGGGAAGATCATCTAAGATAGCCGAGGTTATGAAATGGAGGAATGTCAGCATAATGTGCATGCAAGAAACTAAGTGGATTGGAGAAAAGGCACGTGAGATTAATCCTGGAGGTTTTAAGTTGTGGTATTCGTGGAGAGAAAGGAACAAAAATAAGTAGGCATTATGGTGACACATGATTATGTTGAGCGTGTGGTGAAAGTCTTCAGGAAGAACGACCACATCATGAGCATTAAGCTGATTATAGGAGATGAGATCGTGTCAGTGGTAAGTGCCTATGCACCACAAGTGAGATTGGATGCATCTATCACTCAACAATTTTGGGAGGATCTTGAGGAGGTGGTGCGACGAGTGCCAAGGGGAGAGAAGTTGGTCATAGGAGGCGACCTCAACAGGCATGTGGGCCTAAGTCGTGATGGTTTTGAGAGTATCCATGGTGGACATGGTTTTGGCACTAGATATGAAGTGGGGAAGAACATTCTAGATTTTGCCTCGACATATGAGTTGGCTGTGATGAACACTTGCTTCAAGAAAAGATACTCTCACCTTGTGACCTATAGAAGTGGAGCTAATAGTACCCAAATTGATTACTTTTTAGTACGAACGACTTGGAGATCTAGCTACACTGATTGTAAGGTTATCCCAGGTGAGAGTGTTGTCACTCAACACAGGATGTTTGTGCTTGATTTTCAAGATAGAAAGAGAAGGAGAGTTAAGGTACAAGGGGAGCCAAAGATAAAGTGGTGGAGGCTCGAGGGGAATCTCCAACAAACTTTTGCACAGAAAATGTTGGAGGAAGATGTTTGGCCTATTGATAATGACGCACATGTGGATGATGTGTGGTTATCAATGGAGTCCACCTTTAACAAAGTGGTGAAATAGATACTTGGAGAATCTAAAGGATGTCTACCACCAAAAAAGGACACATCTTGGTGGAATGATGAGATAAAACAAGCAATAAGGATCAAAAGAAAATGCTATAAGAAATTGGGCAAATGTTGGAGTAACGAGAACATAGAGGAGTACAAGGAGACTAGAAGAAGAGCAAAGAAAGCTGTAAAGGAAGCAAGAAGA